GTTACTACAGGAGGAAATCTAAACTAAATTAACTTTATTTATACTGGATAGTTCTATCAATACTAAACTGTTCTCCCTAGAGGTCCGATAACGATCATCTCTTATTGATCCAGTGTTACTACAAGAGGAAATCTAAACTAAACAAACTTTAATCCAAATTTCTCTACGCTTCTTTACTTGCATTGAGATTTATACGCAACTCATTATTTCTCTCTACGTTTCCAGGTGAACGTCCTTTTAAATGTGACTCATGTGGACGACAATTCAACCATCGAAGCCACTTTAATAACCATCTGAGAATTCACACTGGTGAAAAACCATTCAAATGTGAAACTTGTGGCAAACAGTTTTCTCGGAAAGCCAGTGTGAGGTACCATATGAAGGTCCACGGTGTCACCATGACAGCTGATGGTCAAACTACCAGCACAGTACAGACCAATACTGTACAGAGCAGTACAATTGACCATGAACAGGTAATTAACAGTATAAGGTACCATAAATTCATTGTGTCACGATCAGTACAGATACCTTCATAGTACAGTACTGGCAAAAACTTCCATTACATTATTATTCAGTTCGCTCACCATTGGGGCTTTTCAGTGACCGATTACATCAAGTATTACGCTCATGCTACTTACTTAGCCTGGACTATTTATCTTTACAACAATTGAGATGTAATATATGAACAACGAGAGCGAGTGGGATATCCAAACACGAGAAAACAATGTATGAAAACTCATGCGCGAACCGCGAGTGTTTTCATACATTGTTTTCAAGTGTTTGGATATCCCGGTGAGACACGAGCTCGAGTTGTTTATATGGCTTCTCAAATGAATCGAGACGTAACAGAATGTTTTCGTTTGCTGATTTGAATCAGAATTCTTAATCAAGCATAACGTAATAGGCAATTCCAGCTTTTAGTTTATGCGTGCAGGGGACGATGGGAAGTAAGGTACCACATTGCTGATTATGCTGAAAAAATAAAAATGGTGGCTGTGTAAACACGGAGTGATAGCTTACACTTGTAAATATTGAAATAATTCGGTTGCTTCGGTAGTTTTTATTGAAATTTTTCAGCATAATCAGCAATATGATACCTTACTTCCCATCATCCCCTGCAGGCATAAACTAAAAGCTGGAATTGCCAATTAGGAATTCTATTCAAGTAATTTTGCATGCGTAATTAAGATATTTGATGAAAACACTAGTGACTTTCATCAAGTTTTACCGGGTTATCCAAATGGCATCTTGTGATCAAATAGGTGATTATCATTGGCTGAATTGCTCATAAATTATTAATGAATTTGAGAAATTACTTTCCTAACTGTAAATTGTGTTTACCCTAACCCACCCTGTCAGGGTACCCTGGGAGGAGCACCCGGAGAAAACCCACGACTTTCGGCAGAGCGTTGACTGACTCTTTTCACATGAGTCCGTAGCGGGAATCAAACCCACGATCTCAGAGGTGGAAAAAGCGCTTGCTCTGAAGACTACGACCGTCACCGAAGCCCCAAAGGGAGGGAAGGGAGGTGCACAACGATCTCAGGAGAGGTGTGCACCTCCCCATACCTCCCCTTAAAATCTGACCATGGTTTTCTCGGTTAGCTTGGACCATATAAACAGACCTTAATGAACCTTTACTTTTGTTTTGAAGGTGACTGCAGGTCAAGTTGTAAGCCAACTGACTAACGAGGCTGATGTTCAGTTAGCTGAAGTTTTAGTGGCTGTCAGTGATGCTCTGGTGGCAGCCAACCAAGAGCAAACCTCGAATGAAGACGTACAGTTGATACAGGAGGGTACTGAGGGACAAGCTAATGCTGATGGTAGTGTCCAAATCTTGGAAACTGGTGAACAACAAGGCATCGAGACGGATATGAATGCTGATCAAACTGTACCCATTATTACCAGTGAAGAGTCTGGTCAGGTGGGCTGAGTATGATTTCATGTATTGTATACAGAATGTTAGGGTTTGTAATCCAAGTGATTATATGTGAGAATATATGCGTGAGAATATATACATTGTGAGAGTGAGAATATATACATTTTAAGACCTGACCAGGAACGACTTCGAAAAATGCAGCACAAGGTCCTCTGGTAGGAATTGTATACAGCCTGCTTCGATACAGACGATGCTGCACAACTTGTTGTGCTGTGTTGTGTTGTGTTGTGTTGTGTTGTGTTGTGTTGTGTTGTGTTGTGTTGTAAATCAAACTCCGCTCACAGAGGTAAAACAGTTACCCATGTAAAATACATTTAGTAAAACACATGCTTATCTTTTTAGATAATTCATAATGCTCAAGTGATAGATGCCACTCAATTAACTGAAGAGCAACTGATGCAGGTATTTTTTTAAAATTCTTGGCTCTACTCTGCAGCTTGTCTTACTATGAAAAATCAATGAATTTCACTTGAAAAATTAATAGGTTGGCGAGAGCCGTGTGATTGCGATCAGATGGGAAATAGCCAGCGCAGTCATCCGATTTTCGGGGCAATGCAAATCGATGTCACTGCTTCGGCTTCCGTGTGAATTCAAAAGAAAATGGGCAACCGCCCTCCCTTTCCCCCAAGAAGCTTATCCAGCCTATTGTAGATGCAAGGTTTGCAAAAATCTGTTCACAAGCCATCAACAAGTTGTGTTCGCACTGCTTGTTCCCAGTTGTTGTAACAAGTTTGGAACAAGCTGTTAACAACTTGTCACAAGCTTGATGGCATTATCAGACTTGTTACAAGGTTGTTCTAACAAGTCTGATAAAGTCATGATATAACAAGAATGTTACAAAGTTAACGACACAAGATTGTGACAATATTGTTATATCATGATTGTATCGGACTTGTTGGAACAACTTTGCAACAAGTCTGATCATATCAACAAGGTTGTTACAAATTGTTCACAGCTTGTTTCAAACTTGTTGACAACTTGGGACAAGCAGCGCGAACACAACTTGTTGATGGCTTGTTGGCAGACTTGCTACAAGATGTGAGATTTTTACGTTTGTACGCGTGCTTTAAATAAACACGTAAAATTCTCATATCTTTTGGCACGTTTGCCAACAAGCCGTCAACATGTTGTGTTCTCACTGCTTGTCCCAAGTTATCAACAAGTTTGGAACAAACTGTTAACAACTTGTAACAACCTTGTTGATATTATCAGACTTGATATTTGTGATGTTACTCTGAGTGTATATCCACACAGGGCGAGCTTGAAAAATACAAATATCATATTCACCTGAGTACACAACACCAACACAGAAAAAATCATTATCAGACTAGTGTTGCAAGGTTGTTCCAACAAGTCTGATACAGTCATGATAACAATATTGTTACAACCTTGTGTCGTCAACCTTGTAACATTCTTGTTATATCACGATTGTATCAGACTTGTTACATTGATATCATTTATGTAAACCAGAGTAGCGAGCGAAACATGATTGATATACCTGGTTGCAGTGCATCAAGCTTGTTACAAGTTGTTAACAGCTTGTTCCAAACTTTTTACAACAACTGGGAACAAGCAGTGCGAACACAACTTGTCGACAGCTTGCGAACAGATTTGTAATAACCTTTTTGCAGACTTGTAACAACTTGTGCGTTTTTACGTGGGTAGTACTTAAAGATTTAAATATTTTCCAGGTGAGCAATATCACGAATGTTCAAACGAGCGAGGGCCAGTTGATTGCCATGAATGTAGAAGATGCCCACGTGATCGACCCGAGCCAACTGCATGCTCTCAGCGTGATCGCAGAGGCAGCCAAAGGCAATCAAATCCATATCCCAGATATCATTGCGGCCGCAGCAGCATCCGGCGTGAATATCACAACATCTGATGACGTCGATCATATTGTCGCTGTCCAGGCTGAAAATGGACAGCAAGCGCATGTGGAAATACAACAAGAAATGCAAGAAGGCGTGGTTACCACTAACCAAGAGGAACAGCCAATGGAAACAGCATGAGTGATGACGTATGGTTGCTGGCTTTTGATCTATTATGACGACTGGACTACACGAGCTAATAATGCTTATAGCTATATATTCCATAGCGGTACGAAGAACACTTATCCGATACGGAATGTACAACTTTCAAAAGCTGCAGTAATAGACAATTCCCATTATAGACTTAATTTTAAAACTAGGCAAGGAGATGCAAATAAATCACCACAACTAGAAAGAGCATGCTACAATTAGTAAAATTACAAAGTTTGGTTGCGAAATGTTGTAAAATGCGGAAAATATAGCCTTGCAAAGTTCGCAAATTTTGTCAATTTCCGCACGCAATACAAAAGTATACAAAATTTGCCAACTTTGCAAGGCTATATTTTCCACATTTTACAACAATTCGCAACCAAACTTTGTCATTTTACTAATTTTAGTATGCTCTTTCTAGCTGCGGTGATTTATTTGCATCTCCTTGCGGCTAGTTTTGAAATTAGTCTATAATGGGATTGTCTAATCCTCTGAAAATAGCGTTCCTAAAAGATAGGGATAGGTGTTTTTTCACGTCGCCACGGAAACCTGCTTAAGTGATAATGCAAATCAGCTTGAAAAACAATCGTGTTTTGGAAACGTCTTTGACAATAAAACTTCTCGTTATTAAATACGAAATTTTCGCTTCGTTTAATTCGTAAAAGTGTAACGTTTTATAAAGACATCGGGAGCGTTTTGCTCATAGTAAAGGCTGTGTATTTCTAGCCATTTGTATATCCGTTGTTCCATTAACATCCAAATATATTGTTTGCCAACTTACCAACACAGAAAAAATCATGATTACTAGATTACACTGATATCGAAGGAACTAGACTCAGTTCCGAAATATCGCATACTTGAACCGACCTGACCGCGTAGCTCAGTTGGCAGAGCATTGGGATAGTATTCCAAAGGTCGTAGGTTCGATTCCCACCGTGGCCAGGCATATTTTTCAAGCTTGCCCGGTGTGGATATACACTCAGAGTAACATCACAAGCATCATATTCACCTGAGTACATTACACCAACACAGAAAAAATCCAGTTTATTCCAATTGAAAATCCGTCATATTGCATGACTTGAAATTTGGTTATCTTTTCATCGGTCACGCAAACACGAAACCTAATCCAATCTCTAATCTCATAACCAATCATATTTCGTGATTGCGTGACATGAAAATGTAAGGCCAAATAAAAAAAAATACTTGGTTAGCGTCACACTCTCACAAATTTTCAGAGGCGGGCGGGCGGATTTTTTTTTTAATTTTTACTCGTTTTTTAATTTTTTAATAGTATTTTTGGAGGGGATGGGGGTGGTTTTCCACCATATCGGTGATATTTTTTGTACTGAAGTTGCGAAGGCCGCCATTTTGCTTTAAGAACCTTGTATACCCAAGCCTACGCGCTCCTATCGATCAAGTATATAGCGCGAAGGTCTGAGCATGAGAAAAATTTCAAATATTAAACTGTTTTAAGCTGTAAAACGAAGAGATTTACATAAAAAAAATTAAAAAAAATTCAGAGGCGGCAGAAAATCGAGAGGCGGGCGGTGACGCTAACCAAGTATTTTTTTTTATTTGGCCTAACCTGAAATTTGCAGTATCCTGATGTCTTAGGGATACCAGATTTTGAGTTTGGATACTGAACGTCGCAATCGAAAACGACATCACAGTTCATAACAATGAGTGATTCCAGCTACACAAGAAAAACGAAATCCATTACCATAGCTGGAAAGAGCATCTTAAAATGAGTAAAATTGCAAAGTTTGGTTGCGAATTGTTGTAAAATGTGGAAAATATAGCCCTGCAAAGTTCGCAAAATTTTGTACCATTTTTGAGCCGAAAGTGGTTTATATTTTTACCACGCGTAATACAAATATATACAAGGCTGCTATTTTGACCGCGCGTAGTACAAATATATACAAAATTTGCGAACTTTACAGGGCTATATTTCCTTCATTTTACAGCATTTAGCAACCAAATATTCAAGCCCTGAAATCATTGTGTGGCATATGTAATGTTCTTCTCGATCTTCCTTGCATAACTAATTAGCAACCGAAATACGTGGCAGTGAGCATGCGCTGTACAGACGAAATTCTTCAAAATGGCCGATCATAAACAAGGATTTTTTTCGGTAAGTTTTTCTTAAATTTCTCGTTTTTCTAACAATAAATTTGTACAGAAATGAGTTTGTACAAAAATTTTATATTTTGGTTTGCCTAATTTCGTGTGTGAATATCATATTTCGTTCAGGGAACTTTGGTGGTATGTTTGTCATTTCTTGTGTTCGCCGTGAAGGCATTTTATTTGCCTGGAATTGCTCCTATCGACTATGAAAGTGAAGGCCCTTTGGAAATAAAGGTAGAGAGTTCAAAGTACTTTGTTCAGAGTGCTTAAATTTGGCTATAAACCGTCGCAATTGATCTCCCAGGAAAGATCTTAAAAGATCTTTCACAAATATTGAACTCTCAGCAAGCGTCTTGCAAAATAGATTCGGGAAAAATTGACAGTATTTATACATGATTGGTGAATTTTCATTTTGATTTGTACTTTCAACATTCTTAAAATATTTGCTGACATATTTGGTACACATGTTATTTTGTTTATGTAATGTATAAAATAAATAGAGGAATTAGCTAGCAAGTACCTGACAGTGAAGTGTGAAGTTGGTCGGTGTTGCCCCCAGGATTTTTTAGGGAAAACATTTTGCCCCCCTAGGAAGTGCTTGATATAAACAATTCAAACACTAATCTGCCACAAATGTCTTAATTTCATTGTGTTTAATACCTATTTGGTCACTTTTGTGCCCTTGGCAGACCTCTCAACTTTGCAGAGAAGTTAAGAGTGAGATTGGGGATGTGGATGACACCTTTGTAAAAGTTCGGGGGTCTGGCATTTCGTACATTATGAGAGCTGGTGTTTTTTAATGAAATACATTGCTTCATAACGTCCTTTAAGACAAGGCACTTTAGTTACAATAACTGTATTGCTGCGACATACAGTAATGAGCTTTAATTTGCCTTTGATAATTTACATATAGAATTCTGCTCCGAGTGTTCTTCCTTTTGTCTGCCGTAATTACATAATTATGCGTACTATTTTGTATCCAAATTGCGGGCAAAATGTCGGGCCGTATATGCAGGAACAATAACACACGATTATATATTTGATTCGCGATCCGTATAATGATTAATAATGTGCATTTATTAAGAATACAATATTATATTATTGAAAAAATACTATGAAACTGCTATATGCGTGAGATTTACTAAACGTGGCGTGAGAGCATGAGAGTGAAGCGAATTGTGTGAGACTCACGCCGAATGTGTGAGAGTTGAGAGGTCTGCCTTGGGCTTGGAGACTGTTTTGTGGCTCTGCCCCTAGATTTTTAGCTTTTGTGCCCCAGAGATCTCATTGAAAACTGCCTTGTGTTGAAAAGTGACTTGAAATCGACAATATTGGGTTGATACATTAACTAGCAGGTTGATGATTTTGTTCAATTGTCTAATGAAAGGGTATGATCGTTGTTATTTAGGCTGTAAAGATGACGAGTATCAAGACACAGCTGCCTTATGATTATTATTCATTACCATTTTGTGCACCTGCTAAGAAACAGTACATTCCAGAAAATTTAGGTAAATTGTGATGGGTCATTAGAGCTCGACAAGTGGACTCTGTGGCTCAGTTGGTTAGAACGCTGTATATGCTGTATAATACCATGATCACCTCGATTTTCATTGTTCTGAAAGGGAATGTAAATCCTGTATTTCCCTCATTACCCATGCATACGCTTTTGTCTTCTAAATTTTCCCGGGAAATTTAGTTGAAAACAAAAGATTTCTTTGTCTTCTAATTCGACCCTGCATGCTTGATGAGGGAAATAATTTTCCCAAAGACAAAGAAATCTTTTGTCTTTTACTAAATTTCCCAGAAGACAAAAGCCTACTTCCAAAGCGTACCTTGTGCTTCGCTTTAGGACTGTTCGGTATACCGATATACCGAAAATATCGGTATTAAATCAATATCGGTATATCGATACCGGATATTGAACCATACCGATATATACCGATATTTCCGATATACCGGAATGTTTCAGTATACCGTGTTAAATTTACCAACTATATGGCAAAACCATAACCTTTATTTTACTGCTGAATAGCATTTCAAAGAACTTTCTACTGCAATGATTTAGAATTTCCACTTCAGTGAGATTTTACACTGAGTATGTGTCGTTCGAAACAGCTGCGAAATTATCGTTTTCCCTTTTAGAATTGCTCAAAATTTCTTCAAATTTCCATTAAAGAATTTTCTTTTATTATAATTATCAAAGGAAAACCGGTATATACCGATAATGGGTCGTTCCAGAAAAGATCCATACTCCCCCCACGGAGGAAATTTCAGCCGTCCGGAGGGGGAGGGGAGAAAAAATTGTTTCGGATAATAGTAAATGTATTAGGACATCCGAAGCGGGTAGGGGGGTTAACTTCCTATTCCTCCATGGGGATGGTATGGATGTTTTCTGGAATGACCCAATATCAGTATAATTTTTTCGGTATACCGATACCGGAAATTTCTCATACCGAACATTCCTACTTCGTTTTGCACCGTCCCTGTGAATTTTTGCACCTCCCCTGAAAAGTCATGCACCTCCCCTTGAGGAATATAAGTTTCAATGATAGATCAATTCAAAGTGAAAATTTGACATTTTTTGGTTGCTTAGGGTCCACACTTCATCAGAACGTTTTTCTGTAAAATTGAAACACTCTGTGATAGTCATTCATCACTGTGTCAAGTACAATGTTTTAAAAGAAACTTTGTAGTAATTGTAATGAAGGGCAAAATTGGATGAGTTGTACAATCATAATTCATTTAATATACTGATACATACCAGGTGATCTTGATACGTGGAAAAGTACTGGCACTAGTTGTCAAATAGAAATCCATTTTATGATTAAAACAACTGAATATCTCCTGTAATATACTTTATTTCGATTCCATATTTTTGTCAGAGTTATAGTTCCCGTAACCAAACATAATTACAAAATTTCAACTAGTTTCATAAAGAATAATGAAAGATATAATTGACTGAATACATCAAAATGGATTTCTATTCGGACAACCCTTTCTGAGCACTAATTGGCTAAAATACGAACACGAGATCACCTGGCCTATATACACTACATACATAAGTCGTTGACTTCTGCCCGTTCTAAGCCCTAACTTTCCATGGGGGTCGTGAGGTAGACCGCTGTACCTCTCCTAAATTTTTTCCACCACAATTTTGACTAAAATCTGGCCTTGGAATAGACCTTTCCCCTTTTGAGTGAAATTTTGATCTAGACGAGTCTGGACAAAAATTTCATCACAGCTTGAAAGAACATCACAAAATTAATAATATTCCGAAGTTTCGTTGCGAAATGTTGTAAAATGCGGGTCGTATAATCAAACTGATTACCAATTTCCCATTTGTAATGCAAAATGACTGAAAAACGGCAAAACTTCGCAAGGCTATATTATCCGCATTTTACAACATTTCGCAACAAAACTTTGGAATATTACTAATTTTGTGATGCTCTTTCAAGCTGTGATGAAGGCTTGTCTAGATCAAAATTTCACTCATAAGGGAAAGGTCTATTTATCATAAATAAAATGGCTACTTTCAGTAAAATTGTCAAAATTAATTGATGCATTTTAAATTTTTTTCAGGTGAAGTGTTGAGAGGTGATAGAATTGTGAATACACCATACAAGGTAAGCTTGTCGAGGATGGTGATTTCTTTGGAAAATGTTAGAATTGCTTGGTTAACTTGCCTTAATTGGTTAGTTATGCACACTGCTGATACCAACCAGGAAATTTTATATTTCCACACAACCCTACCATTCTCAAGGTGTTTTGCATGATGATTTCTAAATTGATCAGCTCTTTAAGTACTATCATGGATAATAAAATAAATGGATAGGAAACTAGCTGACGTGACCTAATGTTTTCAATGAGTTGATGGCGTGGTTGGATGCCTCAACCTAGTTGAAAACCAAATTCTCAAAAACGGCATGTTTAGCAATAATACAGCTAAACATTTTAGTCAAAGAGCAAATAAATATAACCACGCCATTTTTCGATGAAAACTCTGTATTCCCAATCAATTTTAGCAAATATTTCAAGCACTAAACAGTGAAAATACATCGCAAATTTTGTTAAAATTTGTGACGCCAATTTCGTAGCTACAAATGTAAAAAATACAAATAAATAAAAAAAGTAAAAAATACATTTGTTGTGGCTTAGGCATGTTTTTAAAACAATTAGACCAGTTTATGCTTCAATATCACCCTTTTAAAGTTGAAAATATAGCAAAACAAATGCCGAGAACTTTGGTAACATTCGCAATACGTGTGACGTCACGTTTTTCAACAAGGATGCAGTCAATTACGTCAGGAAGTTTCCTATCCAGTTATTTTACAATCCATGGTACTATTTAACCCATTGAGTGGCAGCACTCTCCCCCTGACGAGTAAAATTGTCTGGCGTTAGACAGAGTAAAATAACAACGCAGGGCACATTGGGGCGCATTGCCACTTAATGGATTAACAGGGTGCATGGGCAGATCGTCTGATTAATCCATTGAGTGGCAGCACTCTCACATGGCTTAAAAAGCGACCCATCTGATGAGTACATCAGCCATTCCGAAGTTGATGAGAGGATTGGGGACAAGTGTTAAAAAGTGCCCAAATTAAGAAATGAACCAAATCTCTAAAAAGACCACCTCAAAATTAGTACGTATACAAAGTTTGAAGACGTTTACATGAATACCCTTCGAATAATAAGCTTTCGAAAAACGTGATGTTTACTATGAAATGTACTGTAAAAACAGTCTTTTAATCAGTAATTTCATAATTTTCAAAAGCTTATTATTCGAAGGGTATTCATGTAAACGTCTTCAAACTTTGTATACAAACTTTGATTCGGTTCATTTCTTAATTTGAGCACTTTTTAACACTCGTCCCCAGTCCACTCATCAACTTCGGAATGGCTAATTGGCGAAGTAATTTTTAAAATAAACATTGTCTAAGCCGAGAAAATCAAAGCTAAAGTTTATGTAAATTAACATGATTTTTTATATAAAACCACCCACACAGCAGTGATTCCCTAAGTTGTATTTTCCTCGTGAATGGACGACTTGCGCTTTAGAAAAATTTTTAATCTGGGAATAACAAAGGATATTTTCGGAAAGAAGTTATCAAAATTAGAAAAACTGCAAAGTTTGGTTGCGAAATGTTGTAAAATACGGAAAATATAGCCCTGCGAAGTTGGCAAATTTGTATACATTTCTATTACGTGCGGAAATTGGTAACTAATTTAGTTACCAATTCACGCACGTAATACAAAAGTATACAAATTTGCCAACTTTGAAGGGCTATATTTTCCGTATTTTACAACATTTCGCAACCAAACTTTGTAATATTACTAATTCCAAGACGCTCCTTCTAGCTGTGGTGATAGATTTCGTTGTTCTTACTTAGATTAAAATTTAGTCTAAAGCGCAAGTCGTCCATTCTTAATGAGTTTTTGAAATGTAGTAAAAATATGTCATAGGTGAAAGTGATGATAAATAAATCCTGCACCATTCTATGTGACAAAACGTGGTCTCCTGAAGAATCTCAAACTGTAGCCAAGAGAATCAAAGAAGATTACTCTGTTCATATGTAAGTGGACAGAAAGTTGTTTTTATCGACAAACAACTTGTTATAAATTGTAGAATCAATACAGTCGAACCCCTAGATTAAGTGAACTCCTTCGGGACCTCACCGATGTGTCCGCTTGATAAGGGTATGTGCGTAATAAGGTGTGGAACACATCAGGAGTAGCACCCATGTTCTCTTGCAAGCAACATTGCAATAGTGTCTCACAATATTGCAATTTTGATAGGTAGATTGCTCTGAGCAATTTTCAACCGACGTGAACAGATTGCAAGTTGAAACTCACAAAAGATTTGTAAACAATTAGCATCGCTGATTGAACTATAAGAAACAGAGAAGCACCAATCCAGTTGCTCAGACTATTTGACTCGCTTCCTTTTTGCTAATAGTCCAATCAGAGGCTTTGTTTACAATTTTTTGTGAAGTTCAACTTGCAATTTTGTTCGCGTCGGTAGCAAATTGCTCAGAGCAATCTGCCTAATCATAATTGCAATATTGTGGGACAATCTTGCAATGTTGCTCGCAAGAGAACATCCGGTTTGACTGTAGGAGGGGGGCAGGGTCTTAGCTAGGATTTTAGATCTTGGGCGTGTTTCTAATGATCAGGGTGTGCACATGTCAATTACCTTGAATAGCAAAATCACGGTTCTAGTTATGCTCGCCAACAATAATGCCTGTGGTTGTTCTATATGCTTTGCAACCAAATACAAGACGAGCATACACTCGTATTGCGCACCGACATTAAAATATTAAGTTATTTCAGCAACTCTTGGGGTATTAAATCCATTTTAACACCATACAGTTCCCATTATCCATCAAAACATTAAAACATCACGGATCACTTTTGCCAATTCAACAACAACAGTAGATTTACAAACATTCTTGCGACGTAAATAGGAAGAAATTCTGTCTGTTGTAAGTAGCACCACCTTATTTTATGAACCTACATGGCCTTATATAAATAGTGAATCCGCGTTCATTTTATCTAGCCGTGTTTTTCCACTTTCGGCCGCGATAACGCGGCCAACACGGCCCTCTAGCGTATTGTTCTTGCATGTTTTAAGACTTGGAGTATTTTTTTCTTGCAGGCTGGTTGATAATCTTCCAATAGCTACAAAATTTCGAACTTTGGATAATACCGAGGTGAACTACTATGATAATTTGTGTTTCTTATATGTTCCGTCAGTAGGGCCACTAATAATCAATGTTGCTTTTTCTAGTTTCAATATGAACATGGCTTTAAACTTGGCTATGAAAGAGATGGAAAAGTAAGATTTGTGTCTGAAATTCTTGCATGTTCATTAATTATAGCCAATGTACACTACACAACTTTCGCCTCAAAGTGTTGTATATGCATCCTGGTTACAACTTCACGACTTGCCTATGTTGCCATAGGTGAGTGCATGGTGTGCTTGATTTAATGAGGTTACATAATAACCAAGGTTAATATCATAGGAACCGCGCGCAGTCTGGGTACGCAGGCCTTAAAATATCTTTTACATGGCCGTCTGACAAAATGTCCGATGACGTTGAGTTTGGGTCGGACATATGTCCGATGACCTTCAGTTCAGTTTTGACTTCGAGTAAGTCTGAATGACACGTCAAATGAATATCAGCACAATGTATTAATTCTGAACGGTAAATGTTGTAAAGATATTAAATAATTCGTTTCTTTCATACTTATTTCCAAGCCAAAATTAACTTGCTTTCCAGAACAGCAGTATTAAAAAAAGACTTCGACAACTTAAGCCCGTTTTCCACTTCATTATTTCGCTCGCCACCCCACGCTCGACTACGCTAAAACAACATTTCCAGTTCACCTTCTATACAATAGTACTCTGGTTTTCCATTTAATATACAAGCCTCTAGTCCTGGGCTAGGGTACATTTGATTTACGATGGACAAAGCTACATTTCGGTCGGACACCAATTCACTCGGGTCGGACAAACAATAAACCTCAGTTTCACTTAGGTCGGACAGAATGTCCGGTGGTTTCCTCTCTACGTCGGACAATTTCACGAATGGGTCGGACAATGTCCGTGACCGACCGATATTTTAAGGCCTGCGGGTACGACATGTGCCCTCAGGATATCGGATATAGAGAGTGCCAAGCAGACTCTCGGGTCATTAGCTAATTCATAGCCAACTGCAATGGTTATCTGCTCAGAGAAGAAGCAATTTTTTTTTTCATGACTACAATTGATTTTCAATTTAATTTCCATCGAACAAAGTTCGGTGTGATAAGGTGCAGACGTTCGGTGGTCAGCTCCTGAATGGACAGGTCCACGTGATTCGGACCTGAATCCAAGTAACTCAAATCCGTAGATCATTAGCTGACCACGTCTGCACCTAACCATCCACACGGGTAAGTATGGTGACGACAGATATTGACACAGTACAATTCCAGCGGTGTAGCCAGCCCAACAATTTGGTCCCGCTATGCAAATTTCAACTCATTATTATCATTCATTTCTTTAGAAATTGATTGTGTTGATAGTTTATAAACATGGCAATATTTGCATAGCGAGACTGCAGTGTAGATTATAACGGTCGGCAGTCGGCTATTTGCCAAACAAAAACACCAAATGGCCGATCAATTTCATTCTGCACGGACATTTTGACCGATCAAATAAAATAGACAATGTTCATTTAAATTGAAGGTAGCTTATATAAAAAGGACTGTTTGAAAAGCATACTATACCTACTGTACCATGCAATCAATAAATATTTGGATGAAAATTGAAAAAAGCATTCAGAGGAAACATTGTCATTGAGCTTCTCTTTTAGCAAATACTCTCTCAAGTGACCGAATCTCGATAGTAAGTCTATAGCGTTTCCAATACTTACTACTTACAAAAAGAGGTTTTATTTTTTCGTAAAAATGGTTGAAATAGTTGGCCGACCATTCTTTGCCAATGTCCGAGCAACAATCTTGTTGGTCGGACATTTGTCAGACCTAAGCAAAAACGTTATAATCCACACTGCGAGACTGAATTGTCGGGCTGGCTATATGCCACTGTACAACTAAAGTTGTAAGCAGGTTGCATGTGACGGTTCTAGGCAAAATTGTGCAGTGTAAATGGGCCTTTTGTTACTTTCATTGTTATGGTAATCAAAACTATATTTCTTCAATTTGTAGATCTATATCAATAATTTTCTTCATTTGGTAATCAAGTATCACAAAGATAACTCGTAAGTTATGTTACTAATGTCTAACACCCCCCCTAGAGAAGTTTAGAACCACCCTAAAAAATCTGCTTGACCATACGTTTTCTGCATTTCGAAAATATGTAAACATGTTGAGGTTGTTGTTGTACAGCCATATTTTCAAATATACTGTACTTTAAACCATCAAGCACCAGTGCTCTCCCCTTGACGAGTAAAATCGCCTGGTGTTAGTCAGAGTAAAATAATAAAGTATTGCGCATCAGGGCGCAATGCGACTCAATGGATTAACAAGCAAATTTACTGTACTGTACTACAGCAACTGTCCAGTCACGCACACGTGATAAAAGGCCGATATAAACTTTATAAACAAACGATAGTGTAAAACGTAACAGAACGGCGAACATGCAGATTCGGCCATCTCAAATAAAAGTAATGTTGGGATAGTAACGTTGTAGACTGCAGAGGAGAGTGGGCAGTAAAGCTACCTCATCATGCACCACCCCATGGAAAACCTGCACCCCTTAAGGCTAGATCCGCCCATTTTAGCTAAGTGCTCTAAAGTTATTTTAGCCTTTGTTGTCAGTAACGAATCTCGCTTGATTTGTTTTGTAGTGGGTCATTTCGTGTTGTCGGCTTTGAAGCTCAACCAATGAGGTATTGTTTACTTGTCTGGCTTTAAAATCAGTGGCGAAGCCAGCCATGGTAACTGGTCATGCTATGCTAATAAGCCTGCAAATAGGTTAAAGACAATACATTTCTAAATGTTTTAATAATGCTAATCATTAAACATTTACATAGCTCGCCACTGTTTAAAGTTTTCTCTACACATCAAAATTGTGAAATTTGGCAAAAATGATATTTTTCATTAGCTGCATATTAAATTGGCATGTGTTTATTTTGGTTGCAGCTTAGTAATGGCAACAGTCATAGTCATAGTAGTCATAGTCATAGTCATAGTCATAGTCATAGTCATAGTCATTAGTCATTAGTCATTAGTCATTAGTCATTAGTCATAGTCATTAGTCATAGTATAATAGTCATAGTATAGTAGTCATAGTCATAGTAGCCATAGTTACAGTAGTAGTAGTAATAGTAACAGTCATAGTCATAGTAGTCATAGTCATAGTAGTCATAATCATAGTAGTCATACTCATAGTCATAGTGGTCATAATAGTCATAGTGGTCATAATAGTCATAGTGGTCATAGTGGTCATAGTGGTCATAGTAGTCATAGTCATAGTAGCCATAGTGGTCATAGTAGTCATAGTCATAATCATAGTAGTCATACTCATAGTCATAGTGGTCATAGTAGTCATAGTCATGGTAGTCATAGTCATAGTAGTCATGGTCATAGTGGTCATAGTAGTCATAGTCATAGTAGTCATAGTAACAGTCATAGTCATAGTCATAATGATAGTAGTCATACTTATAGTCATAGTGGTCATAGTAGTCATAGTCATGGTAGTCATAGTCATAGTAGTCATAGTCATAGTAGTCATAGTGGTCATAATAGTCATAGTAGTCATAGTAACAGTCATAGTCATAATAGTCATAGTCATAGTAGTCATAGTCATAATAGTCATAGTCATAGTAGTCATAGTCATAGTGGTCATAGTAGTCATAGTAGTCATAGTAACAGTCATAGTCATAGTCATAGTCATAGTCATAATCATAGTAGTCATACTCATAGTCATAGTGGTCATAGTAGTCATAGTAGTCATAGTAGTCATAGTCATAGTAGTCATAGTCATAGTAGTCATAGTGGTCATAGTAGTCATAGTCATGGTAGTCATAGTGGTCATAGTAGTCATAGTAGTCATAGTCATAGTAGTCATAGTGGTCATAGTAACAGTCATAGTCATAGTCATAGTCATAGTCATAGTCATAGTCATAGTCATAGTCATAATCATAGTAGTCATACTGATAGTCATAATGGTCATGGTAGTCATAGTAGTCATAGTCATGGTAGTCATAGTCATAGTAGTCATAGTCATAGTAGTCATAGTGGTCATAGTAGTCATAGTCATAGTAGTCATAGTAACAGTCATAGTCATAGTCATAATCATAGTAGTCATACTCATAGTCATAATGGTCATAGTAGTCATAGTAGTCATAGTCATGGTAGTCATAGTCATAGTAGTCATAGTCATAGTGGTCATAGTAGTCATAGTCATAGTAGTCATAGTAACAGTCATAGTCATAATCATAGTAGTCATACTCATAGTCATAGTGGTCATAGTAGTCATAGTAGTCATAGTCATGGTAGTTATAGTCATAGTAGTCATAGTCATAGTAGTCATAGTGGTCATAGTAGTCATAGTCATAGTAGTCATAGTAACAGTCATAGTCATAGTCATAATCATAGTAGTCATACTCATAGTCATAATGGTCATAGTAGTCATAGTAGTCATAGTCATGGTAGTCATAGTCATAGTAGTCATAGTCATAGTGGTCATAGTAGTCATAGTCATAGTAGTCATAGTAACAGTCATAGTCATAATCATAGTAGTCATACTCATAGTCATAGTGGTCATAGTAGTCATAGTAGTCATAGTCATGGTAGTTATAGTCATAGTAGTCATAGTCATAGTAGTCATAGTGGTCATAGTAGTCATAGTCATAGTAGTCATAGTAACAGTCATAGTCATAGTCATAATCATAGTAGTCATACTCATAGTCATAATGGTCATAGTAGTCATAGTAGTCATAGTCATGGTAGTCATAGTCATAGTAGTCATAGTCATAGTGGTCATAGTAGTCATAGTCATAGTAGTCATAGTAACAGTCATAGTCATAATCATAGTAGTCATACTCATAGTCATAGTGGTCATAGTAGTCATAGTAGTCATAGTCATGGTAGTTATAGTCATAGTAGTCATAGTCATAGTAGTCATAGTGGTCATAGTAGTCATAGTCATAGTAGTCATAGTAACAGTCATAGTCATAGTCATAATCATAGTAGTCATACTCATAGTCATAGTGGTCATAGTAGTCATGGTAGTCATAGTCATGGTAGTCATAGTCATAGTAGTCATAGTCATAGTAGTCATAGTGGTCATAGTAGTCATAGTCATAGTAGTCATAGTAGTCATAGTCATAGTCATAGTCATAGTCATAGTCATAATCATAGTAGTCATACTCATAGTCATAGTGGTCATAGTGGTCATAGTAGTCATAGTAGTCATAGTCATAGTAGTCATAGTAACAGTCATAGTCATAGTCATAGTCATAATCATAGTAGTCATACTCATAGTCATAGTGGTCATAGTAGTCATAGTCATGGTAGTCATAGTCATAGTAGTCATAGTCATAGTAGTCATAGTGGTCATAGTAGTCATAGTCATAGTAGTCATAGTAGTCATAGTCATAGTCATAGTCATAGTCATAGTCATAATCATAGTAGTCATACTCATAGTCATAGTGGTCATAGTGGTCATAGTAGTCATAGTAGTCATAGTCATAGTAGTCATAGTAACAGTCATAGTCATAGTCATAGTCATAATCATAGTAGTCATACTCATAGTCATAGTGGTCATAGTAGTCATAGTCATGGTAGTCATAGTCATAGTAGTCATAGTCATAGTAGTCATAGTGGTCATAGTAGTCATAGTCATAGTAGTCATAGTAGTCATAGTCATAGTCATAGTCATAGTCATAGTCATAATCATAGTAGTCATACTCATAGTCATAGTGGTCATAGTGGTCATAGTAGTCATAGTAGTCATAGTCATAGTAGTCATAGTAACAGTCATAGTCATAGTCATAGTCATAATCATAGTAGTCATACTCATAGTCATAGTGGTCATAGTAGTCATAGTCATGGTAGTCATAGTCATAGTAGTCATAGTCATAGTAGTCATAGTGGTCATAGTAGTCATAGTCATAGTAGTCATAGTAGTCATAGTAATAGTAACAGTCATAGTCATAGTCATAGTCATAGGTGTCGTAGTAATAGTAACAGTCATAGTCGTAGTCATAATCATAGTAGTCATATAGTCATAGTCATAGTAATCATTGTAGTCATAGTCATTTTGTAATTTAATTAACTTTTAAAAGGTAGAGTGCCTCGCATGGGACTTCGAGTCTCTTTTGCACTCGTGCAGTTTAGTATGTCTTGTTTCACTGTCCAATAAAGTTTACAATAATAATAATAATAATTAAAGTTTCTGTGATTACAGTTGGAATTCTGCATTGGCAAATTCTAAGTTTTGAAGGATTTGTAAGAAATGTTTGAGGGAACTGACTCAGCGTTAACCAATTAGATCAGTTTCCTCAAACATTTCTTACAAATCCTTCAAAACTTAGAATTTACCCATGCAAAATTCCTACTGTGATCACAGAAACTTTGATAGTGGAAACCATGCTTAACTCATTACAAATCCACAAAAACTATTTTTCAGCATTAGTAATATTGAAACCAAAACCGCCGTGCAAGAAACAGCAGAAGCTGAGTGTAAGCACACATTTGTCAGCCAGGAAATAAATCAAAACGGTAAGGGATTGAAAATTTCTATCTCAGTTTTGAGTGCAAAGATTTCTTTAATTTCCAAGTTTTAATTTTCTTGATGTTATCTTTGTTTTAGGAGAAAACAAGATTAGATTTGGCTATATTGTTTCTTGGGAGGTATTGGACACGTTGTATTGCTTACTATAGTTGTTTGTATATTAAAGTGGAAACCGTATGTAAACAAACGGTTTGTTTACATTTTGAACTGCTGTATATTTTAAAATATGACGCGCTGTCTGAATATCTAACACCATTTTGGTTCGCTATGCTTCTATATGAATATGAAATAGAGTTTATGTTCAGAAAAATTCGAAACATTCGAAATTTGAGCAATGTTTACATTAGAGAGCCCTCACATTGTTATGAGCAGAACCGATGCGCAGAACGGACTTGACTTCCACTTTAATAATAGCCTATACATGAACAAATTTCTCAATTCTGATTGGCTAAGAACAGTGCAATTTTTTAGAAATACAGCGCCAAAAAATGAAATACAGTGCAAAGAAAAGAAACACAGTGCAAAAATCATGAACTATTTAGGCTTTCTGATTGGCTTAAAATATGAAACAATAACAAAAATAGCCAATAAGATACAGCAATTTTCAGCAGAAACAATGCAAAGAAACAAGAACAAAAATTATTTCCATGTGAGCTACGCACATAACTGCATAATGTTTTCATGTATATTATTAATAAGTAATAGCATGGTTTCTCGTGCAATTTGAATAACATACACTCATGAGTTTTTCAATTAAAGACTTCAAATTGCACTCGTCCTTCGGACTCGCGCAATTTTGATCGTCTTTGAAAAACTTACTCGTGCATTTTTTTTTTTCAAATTACACTCGAAACCATACTATTACCTATACATATATTGTTCTGTATTGTAATAATGGATAAATATTGTACCGTCCTCTGTTTTAGCCAAGCGATATCGTGTGGGCGTCACGTTGGGATACCTATCTTGCTATGAGTGACGTTCAAATTCACTGGTTTTCAATTGTCAACTCAGTTGTCATTGCAATATTTCTCTCAGGTATGGGATTATAACAGTCTTCTTATTTTGCTTGTCTTATTATCTATTCATTATGACATTATCCATGTAGTTTTAAATTTTGCTATTTTGGTTCTTTTTGATCAAAGCCTTGTGTATAAAATGTCCAAGTTACACGTACTTCCTTGTGGAAGGTCAAACTTCGGCATTTGCTTTGCTCCTGACTTCATTCATGTCAGGTAGATATTCGTATGTAGAACCCCCCCCCCCCCTGTTTTCATCCTCATCTCCCATTTAGATAGCGGGGAGTTTGAGTTAATCGAATAAAAACGATTGAGATAGTATGGGCAAATTCATGGATTTTCGAGAGAACCGAGTTCAGCATAGCGGACTTCTGCTGTATTTTCAATAATATTTGAATGGTAGATTGGACCAGTCATTTTCCGGGTTTCAAGTAATACGTTCAACATGGGTTGTATAACATGATGAGTTCGTTCGTGTTTTTCTTCTTCTGGTAAAACAACTCATCTACCGCTTGTGCTTTATTTGTTATCATCGCGCTGATTTACAAAGAGTGGGGTCTGGATACAATCCCTTCTCTTTTCTAGATTTAATTACATGCATGCATCGCCCATCAATTTTTTGGTCAAATTATTCATATACACATCGTGCATCTTACAATTTTAGGCATCGTATCAATGATTCTCATCCGAACTCTTCGACGTGACATCGCTAAGTACAACCAAGAAGATGAATTGGTAATGACTTCTAACTGCAGTACATACTGTATTCATTAACGTTTTTGAGATGCGTAGAGTACTGTACACACGCAAAAACGCATAAGTTGTTACAAATTGGTTCACAAGCTGTCGACAAGTTGTGTTCGCACTGCTTGTTCCCAGTTGTTGTAACAAGTTTGGAACAAGCTGTTAACAACTTGTAACAAGATTGATGGCATTATCAGACTTGTTAAAAGGTTGTTCTAACAAGTCTGATACAGTCATGATATAACACGAATGTTACAAGGTTGTAACAATATTGTTATGTCATGACTGCACCGGACTTGTTGGAACAATCTTGCAACAAGTCTGGTAATATCAACAAGGTTGTTACAAGTTGTTAACACTGAAGTTGTTCCATACTTGTTGACAACTTGGGACAAGCAGTGCGAACACAACTTGTTGACGGCTTGTTGGCAGACTTGCTACAAGATGCGTGTGTACTTTAGATTGTTCTATCGATAAAGATGCCCCAAATCTTGAATATTTAGCAGGAAACAGGACATCCCGTGCCTGGAATGCTAAAGGCATTAATGAGTGATTGTCTCTTTTTATTTTTCGTCAGGATGACACGATAGAAGAAAGTGGTTGGAAGCTAGTGCACGGAGATGTTTTCCGTCCTCCGAGATTTCGCCTTCTTTTGACAGCTTGTGTTGGCTCTGGTGTCCAACTTTTTGCCATGGTTCTCATCACTTTAGGTACGCTGGAAATATACAGAGTTAAACAGAATCATTCATTTGGTTAAATGTTTGTGTTTGTCAACCTTCTTTTCTAGTTGTGGCTATGTTTGGCATGTTGTCGCCTGCAAGCAGGGGAAGTCTTTTATCAGCGGTCGTTTTTCTCTTCGTTTTTATGGGGTGAGTTATGCCACAAGGACACAAGTGAACTCCTTATACTTCGAGCATGCTAACAAACGGTACTGGCCGAATGTTTTGACTTGGTTACTTTCCGAGTGATGTTGCTGTTTTTGCATGTAGACAGTAACATGTGTAGAATTATTGATTACATGGCCAATGATAGGACTCAGTTTTCTCAACTCTAATGCCCCGGTCAAACGAGAACAAGAGTTGCATGAGAGTTGATGAGAGTTGATAAGCGAGATTTTGCATGAGAGGTTTCTCAACTCCCATGCCCCGGTCAAACGAGAACAAGAGTTGCATGAGAGTTGATGAGAGTTGAGAAGCGAGAGTTTGTATGTGAGTTTTCTCAACTCTCATGCCCCGGTCAAACGAGAACAAGAGTTGCATGAGAGTTGATGAGAGTTGAGAAGCGAGAGTTTGCATGAGAGTTTTCTCAACTCTCATGCCCCGGTCAAACGAGAACAAGAGTTGCATGAGAGTTGATGAGAGTTGATAAGCGAGAGTTTGCATGAGAGTTTTCTCAACTCTCATGCCCCAGTCAAACGAGAACAAGAGTTACATGAGAGTTGATGAGAGTTGAGAAGCGAGAGTTTGCATGAGAGGTGTCGTGTCCCGGTCAAACGAGAACAAGAGTTGCATGAGAGTTAACTGGATATTACTGGTCAAACGAGCAAAAACTCTCATTACACAATCCTTTCAAACCTTCAGTATTATTTTTGACACGGTTTAATAAAGTGTTTTTCTTTCAGAATGTTTGCGGGATATTTCTCTGCTCGTCTTTACAAAACTCTAAATGGTCAAAAATGGAAACGTGCCGCGCTAGTCACCGGAACTCTCTACCCAGGGGTCGTTGCCAGCTTGGCTTTCATATTGAACTTTTTCATCTGGGGCAAACACTCCTCGGGAGCGGTAGGTTATCAACTTTTGGTTTCATTTAGTTGCAATGGTCGCGTGAGGATTCGGTGGCGCATTTTTCAGAAAGTTGACAGGGTGGGTTAGGGTAAACACAGTTAAGAAAGTAGTATCACAATTGTTGTAAAAGATAAAATACTCTAGGCTAAGTATGTAATGGACCTATTCCCTAATGAACAAAAGTTTGATCTAGACAAGTCTAGATAACAAGTGCATCACAGCTTGAAAGAGCATCACAAAATTAGTATTATCATTCAC